TTGATAGCAAACTCCTTACTGTTCTCAACTTGAGAAAGACTTTTATCACGTGAATTGCTGTAGTCTGCAGAAAAAGAAAACAAAAAAGCCCCTAACAAACAATAAAAAGTTAAAAGGCAATAAAATTTATTATTGTCTAATGTGCATAGTGTAAATGGCCAAAGAGCTTCTCAACTGCAGCTCCATACTTTAAATTTTATTTAATATAATTTAATATTTTTAAATTAGTCCCACAGTCAAGACCAGGCTCAAGACAGCCATTGCAATGGTTAGGGTTTACATGTACAAGTGATGCTCTGCAGCTAATGTCAAATCTGTCAAACAGATTCATTAGAAATAAATTATTTCAAAATAGGTACCATCTGAAGGGGTTTAAATCAAAAGACTGCATCAAATCAGTCCTTTTTGAGAAAGAATTTAGGCTTTACCTTCCTCACGTTGCTGTGGAAGTACATAAAATATATTCATATGAGTACAAATCCCATGAGCTCGAGAATACAGTGAATTATTAAAAAATGTTTATCATCAAAGTCTCACTATAGACATGAAATTTGTTTGTATTCTTTGTTGGAAACTTATATTCCAAACAAAAACTAAAAATGCGTGTCTTCTGTTTTTTAAAGTAACAGTACAAATCTCTACCTGCATTAACAGAAGACAATCATTCAGATAAAAACTGTGTTCAGTCACCCTGCTACTCTCTGCTCCTTTTTCTTGCAGCTGTCTTCCTTCTGAAAAGGAGTTATAAAATCTAAGCATCACAAGTAATTGAAAGGAAGCTCCTTTAGTCCGTTCTCTTGCCCAAAGACAAGACCTAAACCATTTACATTACCTGTCCTTAAACCTTCAGTGACAAAGATACCACAGTCTATCGGGCCATCTACTTCAGTATTTAACTACCCAAGTGTGAAAATACTAGTGGTTTTGGGGGTTTGGTTTGCTTTATTTTGCTTTCCTCTCTGATGCTTTACATAAATCTTTGTTCCTGTGAACTGAGCTGTTATTTCTTGTTTCATAATAAACACTAGCACTTCCCATCCCATTTTCAGATACACTTTGCACATTTGAACACAAGCTCTACTCCCTTCGGCTGAACAGCCTGAGTTCTTTTTGTTAGGTTATTTTGTTCATTCATACTTTTATTAAGTTCATTTTGTTCAAGTTGTCAGACGTGTCATGTTTTCCAGCAGGCTGTTTTTACTCATCTTTTGTAGCTTTTCTCCAGCTGTCCAAAACTTTCATGAAATACAGTCATCAAAACTGAAAAAAACCCACTCAATTTCAGGCTTTATCAGTTTCAAATGCAGCAGACATATTACTTCATATATCTTACTGAGGATATTCTTATTTAAGCATCTAAATATTGTGCTTGATTATTGGATGGTAGGATGACAGTGCTGATAGATATTCAGTAGAGCTACCAATATTCTCTAATCTTTCTTTGCAAATCTGTCATTTTCTATCCTGCATTTTTCATTTTATTATTCCAACCTCCTTCACTTTGAAATATTTCTCTTCTATGTTCTTAATATTTTTTTTCTAAGGATCTACTGGCATTCCTGAGATCTTTGTTCCATTAGAATCCTCTTGTATGGGATTTTTTTTACTAATGGAATATTTATTTTCATCCTAGAAATAATGAAATAATTTATTACCACAATCATCAGTGTTGTTTTTCACCTTTAAATTCCCTCTCTATACCAAGTGTCAGATGCATTTCATCCTGTTTTCCTTCTTACCGTTGAAATAATAAATTTGGCCAATACGTTCCAAGAACTTATTAATATTTTGCATTCTGCAGATGAACCTTAGGATTAAAGGGTGGGCTCAGTTCCGTGCACACTGTGTCTCACCTAAAAAATCCAATGCGCAGGCTGGAAGGTGGAAAGACCTTCCCCGGATCTTCGCTCGCGAAGACTGGCCATTATTTATTTACATGCTGTACTTGTACCAAAGTCCAGCCTAGTCTGAAATCATTTCATCCACCTCATCACCTTTGATTGGTGTTTTGTCCTGGTTAACCATGAAAGTACCTTTGTGATTTTTCTCTTTTATCATCACTACAGACTTTAAACAGGTTTATCTCCTGACAGACTCCACCTCTCAGAGCAAGGATATATGCCTCAATATATGGAGTAATATCGTACTCTCCTTCTTTGTCTGTCCTTCCTAATAAGGTTTCATATTCTATATTTGTATTTCAATCATGAGACTCATGAAATTACTGTTAGACTAAACAGATCACGATCTTGATCAAGTAATAAGATTTCCAGTTCTTTACTTTGATATACTTTGGTAGAAGAAATTATTTAAAGTGTCAGTTTGTAAATAAAGTATAATCTTAGTCCAATTTATATTAAATTGAATTTAATTTATCTTGGACAGTTATTTTTATCTGCTTAATTTGTTTTTGTTCTCAGTGCACAAATGGATACATTACTGACTAGGTTTCAAACAAGTGCAGTATGACATCGTGTTTTTTAAAACTGGCAAATTAGTAACACTAAAACAAATCACCCACATTAAAATAAAGTAAAATAAAAGGGTAATAGAACTTTTTTAAAATTAGAAAGCATCTGATGTAAATCTTGGGTGCAAAATTTTTCAACAGCTCAGCAATGCCAGGAAGTTGTCCAGCTGTGCTAATATCATTATTACCCTATTGTCAAGCACTTATCCCAGTGTCAAAATGTATTTATATTACAATGATGTTATTACCTCAGGAAAAAAGCATATTTTTAATTGTTTTATAAACCTGTAGTTCTAAATAATATCAGAAACAATAAATGGACTGTCTGGTACAATTTCAAAATTCATACATTTTAATTTCATTTTCCTTAATATCATCTGCAACTCAACAAGAAAACCTTTAAAGTTTGTTGTTTATTTTTGAAGGCTCCTTTAGTTTCTGTCTTAGTAAGTTATTTAACTAATATAATTTAAATATATATTTTCTGGAAAGTGGACCTTAATTTTAATATTATTTTAATGTGTTGTGAATTTTAACGCATTTATTTTTATGTCTTGTTCAATGAATCATTTATGAACATTCTAGGAGGTCAATAATATGATTTGGTAGTATTAACACAGTACATCTGTTATGTCTGAAGCAATAGCTTCTCAGAGTCCTTGGCAAACGTAGAAAAATGAAATGGTTAGAGAACTATAAACAAAAAATCTCTCTGGAAACCCACATTTCAAGCCATAAAATTCCCCAGCAGGATATGACTTAGGCATTGAAATAAACAATAAAGCAGAATGTTATCATTTAGCAGGCTCTTCTGTTGATCAGATAGAGAAATCACACTGTCTGTAGTGCATACAAGTGTGTACAATTTTCAAATTAGCTTTTTCCTGGGTAAAAGACATACCACATTGTTCTCCCAAATTCTGAGGGCTGCTCATCACTGCAGACTTGCAGCATGCAAAATAAACTTTTTTGCTCCAGCTGATGTTGTACTTTGCCCATGGAGTGATTCATTTTAGCAGGAGAGAAGGCAGTATTTGCACCATTAACCTTCCCCAAGACTTTACTGGGGGAAGCTTTCTTTATCATTTTGATGTGATTACATTAGAGTCTAGGTAGGGAAACCACCCTAAATAGAAACACATTTGGATATGTCATGGCCATGGACCTCATAACTGCAGTCTCATTCATTTGGGGCATAGCACAGGTTCTAAAGGATGCTTTAAGACAACTGTAAACTGCCTTTACCTTTTTCTGTGAAACTTCTTATTTTCAGAATGAATCTGCTCTAAATTATATTAATGGAAACTGACACAATTTAGAGGTGTACATGAATCATAAAATAGTTTATTTGTAAGAATATGCATCTTTGAAAAACTCTCATAATGAACACTAAAGTAACTGATGCTATACTGTAGAAATAAGATTTATCTACTAACATCTGTACTTTAATCTTACAAAATCAAAATAAAAACTTGTTAAATAGATTTACTTGGATTTTTTCCTTTAATATCCTTTTGTTGTTCCTTAAGGCCCATGGATGTCAGATCCCCTCATTAGTTCACAAACAAGTAGGAAAACCAAATACTCTGCCTTTTTTAACTCCTAAGGAAAAGAAATAGAGAACAAAGAGCATAACAAGATAAACATTGAACTGAACTGAGTTGTGCTATTCTTCTGTTCTTCCTCTCTAGGTCCTTCGACCCTTGGCTGTTTATTTAAACTGCAAGCTATTTTGGGTGAGGGGCTTGTTTTCTGACTCTCTGTTAGTACAGGTTGCTGGCATTCTGTACTAGCAAGCAACTATTATAAAAAACAACACGTATCTTCTCTCCCATACAAACACAGTAGATTTTTTTTAACAATTAAGACTGAGGCTTAGATTCTATACCTCAGCGTAGAAAACTGGAAATTAGCTGAGGTGAAAGATGAATAAGTCAGATCCCAGGAGTTAACAGAGAAGTTGACAGTGCTAAGAGCAGCAAGAAGCATTGAAGAGACAGAAAGGAACCTCATCTTAAAGATCTGGAAGGTACATAAGGGGTTGAAAATGAGATATGAGTGACTCACTGTACTGTGAATACAGCTTTCATTCAACAGAGATGAATGTTTCTAACTATAAATCAGATATTATATAGCTTCCACATATTTGAAATTGCCCAAGTCAAAATGCTGTTAGGAAGAAAAATCCAAGCTTTATACCAACACTGTACAACAGATAACAATGACTGGGTCTGGGTGAGGCTTCCTCACTGGTCAGTTCAGCAATATCACAAAGACACTGTGACAGAGTTATTTTACAGGCAGGTACCTCTATCTTCAGTGAAATCCATTTATTCTTTTAGATGGAAAAACTTACTAAGTCAAGGCTAATAAAAAGTACTAATGAATAAGTGTTTTGGTTCAAAATGGAAATAAAGAATATGTGTGTTTATCACTGTAGACACTGCATACCCAATAGATTATCAGATTCTACTAATGGATTAAAAATTAGTATATGTGCAATGGTATGTGAGTCTACTTATGAGGGAAACATGATAAAGAAATTTGTTCATTCATGCAAATAGTCAGGTAGATGGAAAACAGATTGTTCTCACTGTATGAGAACAATCAATTCACAGTTTTATTTATGGAATTTTTAAGAATACATAAAGAAGGTACATCACACATTTGCCAGTCTTAAAATTCAGGACTCAAATCACACTGTAGCAGAGCATACATAATACATAACCACAACTCCAAATATCACAATTAGTACGTTTGCTACTAAATGCCTTTGACTAAGTCTTGGTTCTCAGTGCATTTCTATGTAAATTTTGTGTCATTCCTTTCATTACTTTAATTAAAATGATGTTGCCTGCTTTATTATAAAATAAAACTGTAAATAATTTTTCTTTCCTTAACTGTAAATCTTCCATAAATCCTGTATCAGAATATAGCCATCATCAAATAAATTTACTGTTATAAAAATTTGCCCAGTATACCTGGAACTGCAGCCTGGAAAGCCTGATGTTCTCTACAGGGAAATTGATAAAAATGACAATATAACATGCAAATAATGGAGCCATGGATAAATACTAGTAAAGAAGAAAGCATAAAGTTGGTTTTTTAGAGACAAATCACATTCCACAATTCTTGTGGACCACTCTAGTTACACATCAGCTCTTAATTTTTCTATTACGTGTGATCTTCCCTGATCCAACTCTCCCTCGCTCTTAATGTACAGAATGCTCCTATACCATTTCTTACATTATACTCAACATACTTTCAAATGTCAGCTAGATCCTGGCACAAATAAATTTGGCAGCAGGTGGTAAGCATAACTAAAAGATGGAAAAATCACTTCTTTGGTCGGCACTAGCTATTTTTAATGTTGTTGCATTACCATTTTGTTAACCTACCTGCTGTACAATCTAGACACACTTTCTTTTTTTTTATTTTTTACTATTTTTCTTAGCTAAATCTGTCTGTTTCAAGTCCAGATTATCTGTGATTCCAAAAATCCCTTACTTCAACAGTGAGACTGGGAAACATTAATTTAATTTGTTTTTAATGAAGGGTGTCTAGGTGTCTCTTGAAATTCTCTTTTTCAAATGCAAGACTAAGGTAGGTTGCAAAAATGAAGACAGAAATTGGATTAGAAGCAGAAATGACTGTGGGAACCAGATAGGACATTAGAAAAATGACCCTCCAGAGTAGGAAGGTGGAGAGGATCATTTTGCAATTGCTGGTATCCAAGTACTTTTATCAGTCAAGGTAAGAAGGAAAACAAAATTGTATGTAGAAATTCCAGCAAATACATGCCACAACCTTAATGAAATATGTCTGTGGGATTTTTGTTTAATTTGTTTATTTTTTACCCACTAATGCACTCTATTGGTGTTTCTACAATACAGGCTGAAGATATAATTCCCTGGTCCTACTCAGGGCAATAGTAGTAGAGGAAAAAGCTCACAGATTGCTCAAGAAAAAGGCTTTTTACTGCCTGTAAAAATGAGATAACTATCAGTGTTGTGAAGAGAACATTTGAACAATCACAAGGGATACAGTAGGATGGAATGACGGACAATATCAAGGTACCTGTCAAGAAAGTCAAGGAAAGTCTGAACTGAGAAGGTTCAGCCAGGATGTGCTGATATCTGATTTTAATAATCATACTCATAACAAAAGATGCCATACTGGAAAATCTCTTATTCCTTAAAATGTCTCACTTCCTGCCTATTTCTAATAGCAACAATTTGCATCAGGACGTTTTTACAACTTAGTATTTCAGAAAATAAAATTGGTTGCTGACATGGAAAACTGCAAAGCCCAATTTAAACTTTTCAGTCAAGGGAATGAGGCTATTTTTTGACTTGTTTAACTAATCTAAGTAAGCCTTTGTGTAAAAAATTTTTGCTAATGATTAACAAACAAAGCTATACAAATTAACTTTATTATTCAACACTCCTATTTTCAACATCTTATAGTTTCATGGCATCTCAGATAACTCACACCTTTTAGAAGTAGCAGGCCTTGAGAGTAAGCACTGAGATAACATGATCAGAGGGAGAAACATGGAAACTACAATTTGGAGTTGGAGCAAGAGCTGTGGAGCAATTCTTTTGTAAGCAGTCCACACTTACAAAACTGCTCAACTGAAGAGGATTTTGCCTGTTTATTTTAAAGAAACTGAAGTTTCACAAGTGAAAAAGAAATGGGAGGCTTTGAATTGCTACCAGTTACTTTTCATATGCAGCATTACTTTCTCATAGCTCTATAACATCCAGTAGCCTAATGTTTATATAATGTATTTTTGACACAACTACTTGTGTTTCTAAATATATTCACAGCTTCAACTTTTGCTGCTGTTTCTACACATGAAAAGCAATTCCACAGAACTGATACAACTAAGGTCCTCCACAGAATAATTCATGGCGTGTGGATTGATGGGTTGCTTTGTGCTAAAATAAACCACTCTTTTTGAGTTGGACAAAAGATTATGACTGCCACCATTTAGAATGTCAAATTTCTAAACCAGATCTTCCTCCAAACTGTCCTAATAGGTTTTGCATATTACTGTTATCACCACACATATTTATCTTCACTGAGTGACTCAAATACTTCCTCTCTCTTTGTAAAGTTTGTCCGTCTTTATAATCTTACTGGAGACCTTGCTTTCTACAAAACAGGAAAGAAGTTTGCTTGAAATTACTTTTAATTGTTCTCTTAGGTCTTAGAGACTATTCATGAGTGGGGATTCCATTCAAAGAGAGAACCCGGAGCTGCTCCTGTATCACCACCTAGTGGGGAAGAACCCCACTGTCAGTAACGCAGATGAGCTCCTGAATGTGAGAGCAAATTCCTGACCGAACGCCCCAACTAATAGATTACACATTGCCTGCTTTATCTAAGTCTTTATGCCCCGAGATAATTAACTCCCAGATAGGAGGCTGAATGTTACATCAGAGTATGTTAAAAAAATAACTTGTATGTTAAAAAAATAACTTAAGATCTCTGGGTACATCACCTTTTTTAACCTTTTACCTCCTTGGACCGAAAAAATTCAGTGTATTTTTGAACACCATAAATTCCATGTTTGGAAGTTAAAATTTAGAAACGGTTCCCTAACTGTTAATAGGAATAAAGATTCACTAGAAATAATGGGCTTCATGTAAATTAATGAGCCATAAAACTTGTATAATTATTTTAGGGAAGTAAAACAACTGGACACAATTTGCTCAACTCCTGAAACAAGAATAAGAAGGCACTAATGAAAAAAACACAGCTATGGGGTAAGCATTCAAAGAATAGAGGAAGATATGTAACACTCTTTATCCTTTTATGCAACATTAAAGCAATAACTATAATGAAATGGTAAAAGAAAAATTTGGTTCCAGGACAAATTATACATCCAGTAGGACTAAGATTTAAAAGCTATATTGATATTTTCAGGGACATTAGAGGGATGTGTAACTATTCACAAAATTTTATTGGGGCTGAGGTATTTTAGTGTATGTGGTTCCAATAGATTTCAACTGTTAAAGGGTGCAACTTTTACCTTCATATGTCAGTATAGTGTTTAGTGTTCTTTTTCTGACCTATGTATTTCCACACCTCAATATATTCACAGAATCACAGAACGGGTCAGGTTGGAAGGGAACACAGTGGGTCGTTTGGTCCAACCTTCCTGCTCAAGCAGGGCCATCCTAGACCACGTGTCACAGGATTGCATCCAGAAGATTCTTGAATATCTCCAGTAAGGGAGACTCCATAACCTCTCTGGGCAACCCATTCCAGTGCATGGTCACCTGCACAGTAGAGAATTTCTTCCTCATATCCAGGTGGAGTTTCCTGTGCATCAGGTTCTGCCCATAGTCTCTTGTCCTATTGCTCAGCATCACCAAGCAGAACCTGGCTCCATCCCTGACATCCTCCCATCAGATACTGATAGACATTGATGAGGTGCCCTCTCAGTTGTGTCTTCTCAATGCTGAACAGGCCCAACTCTGAGTTTCTTGCTAGACAGAAGCTGACAGATGCCATGAGGGGCATTCAGTTTAATGCACTGAAAAAAAAAAAAAAAAAAAAAGCCAATATGGACAACCTTAATTCAAGTAAAAGTCACCGTTGTGCCTTCTACAATGAAAGGTTTATAGCTAGTGCTCTCAACACTTTGTCGTATGACAAGGAAAGCTCTACATTTCATCAAAGACAAGCAAACAACAAAATTCAGAGTGAATACAATCCCCTAGTTTACCCTTTTTTAAAGAACTCACCCAAGTTCCCTAAGCAAAAGCAGACATTTCTCATATGCAATGTGTAAAACAAAATCTTGCAATTTATTATTGTTATTTTGCAAAATGCGTTTCTTTCTCCTTTTACTTTCGAAGGCTGTGGTTGCAGTTGTACACCTGGTGTGCTTTCTAGATTAGAAAGGCAGGCCTGCTGTTGAAATACAAACTGAATGCACAAAACACTTTTCAGGCAAGAAGTTATGCAGCTACAATAAATTTAAATATTCTAATGCCTACTATGTTAAAGGAAATTTGACACAAACGTTCATGATTTGTCTGACACCAGCACAAGTAACTCACCTTGCTTGGCCTTAAGCAGACAAGGAACTGTAATTTGTAGATCTATTCATATCACTTGGGAGGCTTCCAGAAAAAGTTCTCCTGCACTAATGCCACTTTCAGAAGTTCTTCTGTCAGAAGTCTTTCCACATGTTCCTTGCTACCAATACACACCTAATAACCTTAACAACTTGGAGTAAAAGTAACAATTTTTCTTCTGCGTTTACTTTAAGCTGTAAACCTCCCCCTTTCCTAAAAAATGTGAATGGCTCTTACCACACAGTTCACTATGGTTCAGAGCGTTATCCCTTGGGAATCAGAGAATAAAAGAAAATGGAAAGAAAAAACATAGTTTGAGAAGAAACTTTCATCTGGAAAAAATGTCAAAGATGGAAGATACTGATAGGAAAACATTTAATTGCAGGCATTAGGGTCAAGGAAAATTCCCAAGGCATCCAATGATGTGAACCTAGAAGACAATCTGAAGAAGGGAAGTGGGGTTTCTAGTATTTAATAGAGTCAAAAGATTGAAGGGACTAAGAACTGAGCAGAAGTTGATAGAGGTTTTTTTTACTTTTATTTGGTATAACTGAAGATTTTTGAGGAACTGAATGGCCACTTGAGGAGAAGAAAGTATAGAGAAGCGGAGGAATAGTCAAAGAAACAGAAATTTGAGCTAAATGACCACTTGCATTACATTATTTTAAAAAAGAATTTACTACAACTTTCTTTAGTCTCTCAGCAACTGCAATTGGGAAAGGCTGTATATCAAAACCCATACCATCTTACCTTGGACATTAAATTGAGAAATGCAGGTCAGGATTGCAGGTCAAGACAACAAGGTCTCAGGGTCAGGACACCTCCATTTCTGCAGTTATTGCTGAAAAGAAGAGTTTCTGAAAGGTGACTGAGCCCACCTGATGGCAGCAGTTGTTCTGGCTGACGATGCTCCGTCTCCAGGGGTGGGGAGATGGCTCACCTGGTGGGCAGCTAGGTGCCACGCAGGGTCTACAGAGTTCCCACTGGCAATCATTAAAAAAAAAAAAAAAGAAAAAAAAAAAGAGAGAGAGAGAAGAAGAAGAAAACCAGTTTCCCCAATCGCTATTTAAGCATTATCACACGTTTCCACAACACTGCATAGAAAACATGCGGGATGCCTTTACCTGATGGTATTTAAGTCCGTTTTGAGGGTGTGGTGGTCGCTCTCCCGTTTCACAACGCCTGTATGCAGCAGTCCTCAGCACCTGAACGTGCCCGGGGTGTTCGAGGGCAGCAGAACCCCATGCAGGATCCCACCTTCTCCCGCCAGGCAGAGCCTTTGGGATTCGGCAGGAAAGGGGTTAAACGCCGAGCCTCGCCTCCAGGAACCCGGCGGGCGGTTCCATTGCCTGGCGAGGGGGAACCCACTTACACGTTGTTAATTATTCTCTCTAAAATAATGCCAGTACTCCAAAAGGAGGGCTGCAAGCCGTCATTATAAAACACGAGAAGCAGGTCTGCTAAGTAAAAGGAGTGGACCTGAGATAAAATCCTGAAGGCACCTCTCTCCATTCTCCTGCGTGGGCAAGTTGCGCTCAGCCCGGTCTGAGGGAGGAGGCGAGGCGGCACCCCGGTAGCGTGTTTGGGGCTCGCAGGGCGCTTTAGGAGTTTTAGATACACTTTAATTTCTCCTTCCAGCATCACAAGAGCTGTCCTCCTCACTGGCTGCTTGTAACAGGCCTCGTTTGCCTTAGTGGGACTGGGAGGAGAGGAGGAAGGGCGGGCAGGGGAGCGGTGACGGCAGGAGGGTTCTGAGGTGACAAAGGCGCGGGAAGCGGCCGGGGCAGCCCGGGGTGCTGCTCGGTCAGGGGGTTAGTGGCTTTCTGTGCTGCAAATAATAATATAATCTGTTGTGCCGAGCCCCGTGGAAGAGGTGTGGCAAACAGGCTCGGGAGTCCTAAGGATAAACGCCGAGTAACTCGGCCGTATTTCACAGGCTGTGTTAGGGAGCCGGCACTGAGATCCGCCCCAGGCGGTTCGGGAACGGGCTGAGGGCGTTCTCAGGCATCTGCTCACACCAGTGTTTTGAAGTGTCTTAGAGGCATTGACTGTGTTTTCTTAGGATCGATTTAGTACGTCAGTGAAGGGAAAAAAACCACACCAGACTTTTTTTTTTTTTTTCCCCATTAGCGATAAGAATTTCTCAAGAAAGCGAGGAACTTGCTTCTTAGATCTGTGCCTAGACAGGAGGAAACTGAGGACACTTCAAGTGTTATGAAAGAGCTGGTTTATGAGCAGCTATCAGTGATAAACATAGGAGAGCTTTCTATCATACTAAAAATATTTCTGCGGAATCACAGGCATGGGCAGTGCTTCCCAGGCAACTATAAAATGCCAAGCCCACTTCCTCTGAGAAACTATGAAACTTAAAAGCAGACCAAACCCACACAGAATAAACAAATTTGGAGCGTAAAATCAGTGAATAAGAGTTGCGTTGTCTGTGGGAAGCCAAATTAATTTTTGTAATGTATTTTCTTCTGTGTTATTTATAAGAAGATTTCTTGTCTGCCTAATTACTCCTAAGTAACAGCTGAGCAGTATGAGCAGTAATACTGTGGTAACATGATATAGGTGGAGAGTCCACGTATTCCAGAGAAATATATAAGAGATTGATTATAACCTTCTGGGTCCCTCTGGGGTTCACCCGTGAAACAGCACCAGGAAGTTTGCTGTAATCATTCTTCCTGCACTGTTTGTTTTTGTGGCTAAATAAGGATTTCAGTGCACTAGGCTAGCAATCCAGAACCTTTTTTGAGGTCTATATTAACACATAACCAAAAATAGCATTTAATTAAAAAGTTGCAGTATGTTTTTGCAATCAAAGGGAAGTGTGTTCTGGAGGAAACCTATTATATTAATAACGCTGTAACTTTTTGCTTGGCACATACAGAGTTGTAAGAACTTATCCTTTAAATTTCTGCAAATGGAAAAACCCCATATTCCTAAGGGCAATAATTAACTCTTATTCTACAGCTACCCAAATATGTAGTTGTATTCATATAGCCAGGTTATTACACCTCTATAACTTCCCTGAAATTACATGTGAAATTTTCTATTTCAGGCATTTTGGCATCAGTATATAGCATTTTGAATGAAATTTTTGGGAACTGGACAGATTATATCTATTACATGTGAAGAGCACCAGCCATAAAGAAGTCTCATATAGACATCTCTGAACTGCTTTTAGAAGAGGGTAAAGCTTGTAGAGGCCTGGTAAGAAAATCTTCATTTAAATATACAGTTTTAATGTTGGGAGGGAAGATTATTAAAGGAGTGAGAAGGAGGAAGAAGGTGTAACTGCTGATCTTGAATATTCAACTGTTAGGCAGTTTTGTACTGAGTTCATAACACCATGAAGGTCATCATATGTAATACAGTGTTCATCATAATGAAACAAACCCTGACAGGCAGGCTATCAAATATGTGTGTGATACTCCTTCCCACATAGGCCCTGTTATATTTTTGAGTTAATCCTCAACAACATAGGAATACTAAGCATTTTTCTCACTCTTCAAGTTATAGTTGGTATCAATGAGAAGATGTAGAAAATAAGGTGACCGTAAGAATGTCACGACTAACTGTAAAGGCGTGATACTTCGCATTCAAAATTCAAATGGACTAGAAAAAGCTGCATTCACCTTTATAAATCTAGTTTTTAGAAATGAAACAAACTGCCTAGAGTTCTATTACTACTTGTTTAGGTGACCACTTTTTCATTCTTAAGGAAAGCTCAGGTGTGGATAACATGTCTGCTTAGCAATGTCCCTGGGCTGGACAGTCAACTTCAGTACTTCCGAAGACTATGAGGCAACATCCAAGTTTAGCAGTATGCTTAATTATTTCCAGACAATCATAAAAACAGCACAACATTTACATTTTAAATAAAAGAAATATTTGCACTCAGTAGTCTAAATGAAGTTTCTCAAATTAAGTGGGAAAAAATGAGAGAAGGAAAGATCATATTTTTAGATCTGCAGATAAATAATTTTTTTTGTGAAAGTTTTTCATGTAAGTACTTTTTATGCTATACTATAAATAGAAATTTTATAGCATGGCTTTCACAAGCAATCTCTCTAGCAACTGATTGTCCCTATTTAACTGAATTTTTTATCCAAACATTATTCAATCACAAACACTTTTTCTATAGTACTAAAATGATGTACCCACCAAAGAGAATTTTTTTTCACTGTCTACTCCTAGTACATTCTTCTTTTGCCTCTATGGGCATTTGGCTATTCCATAAACATGATGAAGAAAAGAAAAATAAAACCAATAAGATCATTGCTTATAGAGACATCCTTTGTAAGCCAGTAATTCTTTAAGAGAAACATGAAGAGATTCATGTCTTGGGTTGTTTTTGCCGAATAAGAGGAGTCAAAATAGGAAAACAAAGAAATTAAGGATTTTTATATACTGCCTCTATCTTTGGGAGCAAGAAAGAAGGAAACAATCTACAATATTAGGGAGAACAGGGTCTAATGGTAGAGAAAAGATAAACATTGCCTAAGGAAGTGCAGGAGAAAAAAAGTACTTTGACCAGAAGAGAGTAATCACTAGTGTAGCCTGGAGTAAACAAAAGACTGACTTTAGTCTGCAAATGAGGGGAAACAGCAATGGAACCATGGAAGGTATGAAAATAATGAGTAAGTTTAGGCAAAAATCTAGTGAATGAAAATATAGAACATATTTTATCGTGTATGTGGATATATTTTCCTTATAGGAAAATTCATATTTTGAATGCTGCCAAGTTACTTTAATTTATGCATCTATTTAGAAGGCAAATATCTTTAAAATTGGCAATGTATTCTTACCTGTCTTGACTTGAAGGGCTTGTGCAGTGTTTCTGGTCAGAAAACATATGTGATGGCATCAGATGTTTGGATGCACTCTATTTATAAAGGTTATGTGTATGTCCTTTTCTTCTGAAACCACGTGAAAGTTTCACCTGAAGTCTCAGGTCGTTTTTTGTTGATAGTCATCTTGAATCTCTCTTGCTCTGTTTTTCTTACAGCTACATTCCCAGACATTGCTCAGGGCTGTGTATGGGTTTCTGTGTCTTCTCTGCATCTGTTTCTTTGCCATTTTACATCTTTTTTCTCACACATGCCTGTCCTCAAATATCCAACAAAACATGTGCCAACCACAAGTGTCGTTGTTTTTGGTTGTAACACGTACCCATGTTCTCGTGGAGGCTGTTCTTTTTTCAGAAAGTTGTACTTCTTCTTACAATGATTTTGAAGAGCACTGTCTATGACAAGTAGCTGGAATATGTTCTATCTAACAGCAATTTTATGGATAACAGGCCACCTTAATGAGAATTGATCCCTGAGTGAAAAACATATTAGCAAAAGCACAGGTATACAGATTGCAGCCTCTTCATGCGCTGGAATGCAGTCAACAGTAGAGAAAGTTGGCAAACCTACAAAATGTTCAATAATCATTCAAAACTAAATTAACATAAGTTAAGAATGCTGTGCGCACTAGTGGCCTTTCAGTATCGTTAAGATTTTTAAATTACTTACACTTACCTATAAGCTTTAGGAAAACTGCTCATGCTTATCCTGTTATTTCTCTGAATGTATACCTCTTAGGCCAGAAATTTCTATGCCACTTTTCTTTTGTAAGATGAATTATGATTACAAAACCTGAGGAAGTTGAGTATGTATCTTAAAACAGTGGGAGGATAAATACAGAAATTTAAACATCAGCAACTAGAATTTAAATACATCATGATCCAGAAAAGAACATTTTCCTATAGATCATTTTAATGTGATTTTAAAGTTGTGTCTTTTTGAGAATTCCATGGTAGTCATTCCTAAAAGGTATATTCTTCTGTCAGTCTTTTTTTCTTTATTACAACCAAGTTGCATCAGCTAGGCAGAGACACTTATTTGTATTTAATTGCAGCTTCTCCAGTTTAATAGCTCAGTTTTATGGACCACTTATTTTTCCTGTCAAAAGTTAAAACAAAAATTTAAAAAAGGCTTTGCCCTTCAGAATGAGCAGTATTGCGAGTCTGTGAGAAATGAAATCAGGACAAGCTTATACTGCTTTCTGGCTCACTGATGAAGCACCCACACATCTTCTGAAGTCCTGACAAATGAGATGTACTGATATTTATCCCTATGGCCATACTGAGAAGCAAATGTCCAGCACGTGTCCAGTTAAAACATTGAATAATATGTATAGTGGAAGTTATAAGAAGAATAGTCTGCATTCAGAAAATCACCAATGATGTTTATTTATCCTTACTCCTTTCCCATTCTTATCTTAAAAT